CGTCCGGCGGGCCGGGGGCTGCGGGGCTGCACCGGCCTTGCCGGGCCGCGGCCTCCCCTGACCTTCCCCCGCGCGGCCTTGCGGGGCCGGGCCGCGGGCTGGGGAGGCGCCCGGGGCTGCGGAAGCTCGGCAGGGCCGCAGCCGAGCGGGGCCGAGGCGCAGCCGGCACCGAGCAGAGTCCTTGTGCTGCCCCCGCCCTCCCGGGCACCGGGAGGCCCTTCGTGGTGGCGGGGCTCGAGTGCTCCGGAACGTCTGTGTTAAAAATAATCTGAAGGGAGCGCTCGCTACACGGAAGTAGAAACTTAATAAATCAGTCCAGTGTTAGGAAGATCTGGACGAAGTGAAGCCTTTTAGCATGGTGTCACAGGGAAAACATTTTTATAACATTTGTAATAGAGCCAGCACACCCAATTAATCTGATATGTTGTATTTTCGTGTGCACTGCACACTCAACGAAATAGAGGTTTTTCTCCGTGGGAGGATATATCCTATTGAAAACAGAGGTGTGCAGCTTAAGCGTCCTGATTGTGTTTGGGCAGTCACCCCTGGGAAACTGTGATGACAGCTGCCATGAGGAAATACCCCAACCCCATGAACCCCAGCGTGGTGGGAGTCGATGTCCTGGACAGACACGTGGATCCCAGCGGGAAGCTGCACAGCCACCGGCTCCTGAGCACAGAGTGGGGAATCCCGTCCATTGTGAAATCGGTGGGTGTTGTGTCACAGGCCAGAAAGGGACACCGCAGGGAGGGGAAGCTCCTGAGCCAGCTGTTGTAATAGATGGGTATCATTTCATAACTTTAATGGTTTAAAAGTTTAATGGCTTAAGCATTTATGTATGGGGAAAGCTTAACAGCAGCACACAGTGACCCTGACAGCCAAATCTGGATCTCAGACTGGATTTCCATCTGGAAAATGAGATCTACCTCAACTGGATAACTTTGTTTTAAGCTAAATCCTAATTGTGTTCTCTTGGTGTCTGTTCAGTGCAATAACCACTGCTTGTGCATTTAAAGGCGTGAAGAATTCCAGTGGGTGAGGGGAATTGATGCCATCTCTGTTTGCCTGTCCCCAGCTCATCGGCACCTGCAGGACAAGGACCTATGTGCAGGAGCACTCTGTTGTTGACCCTGTGAAAAAAACAATGGAGCTTAAATCCTGCAATGTAAGTAGTTGTGTTTGTGCCACTGAAATGGAACACAGAGTATAACAGCACCTTGTACATACGAAAAGGAAAATCATCTTGAAAATAACTTGAAAATTGCGTTAGAGCAATACAAGGTAAAGGTTTAAGTAATGTGGTTATAGTTGATCAGTTCTGGTTTTCAGGAAGGAGCTGCTTGGCTCTTGTCACTGCTGAAGCTGTGAATGTACTGATGAGCAGGAGGAGTTTTGGGGGTGGGGGTGATGTTAAGAAAAAATGTTATAAAGCCTTTTGGTGTAGGTACACTGTGACCGTTTCCTAATCATGTGACATTTTGTTCTCTGTATTACTCTGCCTGTTACTTGTATCAAAGGGTAATCCTGTCCTGTGTTCTACAGATTTCATTTACAAACCTCGTGTCGGTAGATGAGAGGCTTGTCTATAAACCACACCCTCATGAACCACACAAGTGAGTACCTCCCTGCTCTGAGACTGACTGGATTTTGCTTTGAAAATGTCCGTGGTTTCCCTTGATCAGATGAGGCCTCTGTTACAGTAAATTGTCTAAACCAGGACTAAATGGATTGTCACTTCCTGCAGTGACATTGGTTCTGCAGAGCCCTGGGAGACTTTGGGTGCTGTGCTGGAGTCCAGTCCAGTTCAGGCTGTTCTGTCTGTAACTGAATTTGTGTACATCTGCACTTTTCAGCTCCTTGTTCTACATTTATGTGCCTTTAGCCTCTCACTTTGGAGGTTTGTTTCAATTGTTGCTTGGTGTTTTTAAGGCAACTTGGAGCTTAGTGAGTCTGTACTGCTGGAAGTGGTGATGAGTCTGAAAGATTGTTCTAGAGATTCTAACACTGGAGTTTTTTCCTGTCAGAACAGTCAGAAATCTTCAATCTATATTGTTGAAGGGGTTGTTTTAATACTGTTTTCCCAGTATAGAGTAACTCCAAGTCTGCTGTTTCCACTCTTAACATCCTGCTGCTAAAGATGGAAATGGCTGAAAGCCACGAGGGGAGGCTTGTGCTTGCCAGGCACTCTTGGACTGTATTTTCTAAGAAGAAGCAGTTACACAGTGTGGAAGTAGGCTGTGTTTAGGGGGCAAGAAGTTCTGTGTTGCAGAGCAAAGCTGATGAGGGAACGTACTTGCAGGGGAGGAGGGAATTTCTGTTTTAAACTACTCAAAGTAATTCAGTTTCCTGCTCTGTTTCAGAACCATTCTGACACAAGAAGCAATAATATCTGTAAAAGGTGTCAGTCTCAGCAGTTATCTAGAAGGGCTAATGGCAAACACAATTTCTTCCAATGCTAAAAAAGTAAGTATGGGCTTTGTGTAAAATGTGTGGTAACTGGCTAAATGTCAAAGGGAATAAAGATCCCTGGTTTACTTTTTAGCTTTGTCAGCAGTCTTAGAAAGGAGCCACATAGTTCTGCTGCCTTTACTGTAGAGACTGAATGCTCAGCATGCTGAACTTATTCTTGTTTTCCTCTTGTGAATAGAGATAAGATAAATTGTTATTGGCAAAGCTCTCCGAATCTTCACTGGAGCAAACATCTCCACTCACTCAGCAGCGTGACACTCGTTCTCTTGCTGCCCTCTTGGTGCCATTATTAATTTTTGCTGTCAAAAAAGGATCTACGTTCATACAGACCTGAAATAGTAATGTGGGAGCAATGAAGCAGTATTTTAGTTGGGAGTCTGTCCTCTGGCAGTCCAAAGATATCTTGAGTTCATCCTCGAGAAGAATAAAGCAGTCAGGATAAAAAGTCTTTTGTGGATCATAATGTGAGAACTGCTGATATAAGGAATTGCTTTCATGAAATCAAAGGCAGAACATGTTCCAGCAGTACTCGAGTTATTGGGATAACATCAGAGGCATGTATTTTGTTCCTTTCTCTTTCAACTACTGTGTCTTCAGTCATTTTCAGGAAGAATTTTAATTATTTACTAAGATTTGCACACTAATAAACTTTCCTTTAACTGTAGGGCCGGGAAGCACTGGAATGGGTAATTAAAAGACTGAATGCTGAAATTGAAGAGTTTGCAGCTTCAGCAAGAGGAACCATGAGGAATTCGATGGCAGCAGCAGCATTTGTAGAGAAATGATGATAGTTCTTAGACCTGTATCACTAACAAGGCATAACAACCTGCAGCTTCTCTCCAGGCCTACATACATGTATTCTTTGTTATTTAAAGGATGTGTGTATTAGGCATGTTATAAATTTAATTTGGAGAAAAGCTGAATTCTTAACAAGGCTGAGGCTCAAAGGCTATTTAATATATTGGGTCAGCTGGACCGATGAAGAAATAAATTTCAAGTGTAGTTCCTGTATTTACATGAACACTAATTTATGTTTGCAGGTATGAAATAGCCTCATTTAGTACTGAGGCTGCCTATGGTGGAGGACACTGGCATCTTAGGCTAACTTTTATTTTTTGTGTGACTTATGGACTACCTCTTTTGGGACCAAACCCAAAATTAATCAGAATGGTTGTTCCAGCATTGTTCTTTTTGTTGAGTTTTGACAGTTGTGTGATACAACTTGGTTTAACAGAAAGCTTATTACTTGATGCTTGAAATAGAAAAGAATGTACAAAATATTTTTTGATAACCTTTTTAACTTAACTGGTTGAACTAACACGGTACTCATTGTTTTTCAGGCACAATAGGTAAAACATCAAAGTGTCTCTTACCTACCTACCAAGACCTAAGTCCTCCTCCTAAATACACATTAATGGGCTGGGCATGCAGTACCTTAAAATCAAATTTTATCTTAAACTTCTACAATAAGTATCTCCATTTCTAAAAGCCCATTACATAAAGATACGATAAACACAGAGCCTTAATATCTTGTAAGCTGCTACAGTAGTAGGTGTTCACCTCAAAGAACCAATTAAAAGACTAAAAAACCTTTGTGAAGGTGGCTGAGGAGATGCCCAAACATAAAAGGAAATAGTATTTAACAATATACTCATTAAGTTGATCACGTTCCAGAAATAACCTGCCCCATCCACTGGATACTGTGTTGTTCACTTTAGCCGGCGTTCCGAGTTCCACATCCCCTCACCCTTTGAACTGATTTGCTCACAGTACAAGGTGTATTCTCAGGGGTTTCACTCGGTGTTCTCCACTCTGTGTTTCCTGGCACTCGTTGCAGGCTCCTGGCACTGTCACCAGTCGTTCCCTGCAGGAAGGAAAGGTCAGCCCTTGGCACGTGCCACGCTGTGCAGGTGCACTCCTGGGCACCTCACGGGGACTCTGTCCCACCAGGCCCCTTCAGGCTGAACAGACAGAGGCAGAGGCACAGCCCACAAGGAGCTGATGGTGGTATTTTGGTGCCCAAGGCTTTTCCTGGAATTTTGATTCTAAGCTTACAAGTGATGTCAAGGCTCTCTTAGCCTTTATGAACTGTAATGTCACCCTGCCCAGCATATTTGATTTTGCATGCCATTTCTGCTATATCAAATTGCCTGTTTAGTAATGTCTGTTTACAGAGCTTATTTTAACAAACAAGAACACTTCCATAAGGTTTGTGCTGGGGGAAGAAAACAGGAATATAGATATATAACTTTTAAAAAATAAGTATTCTAAACAGAATATTTTTCTAAACAGAAACAGCTTGAGACTACCTTACTAATTGAAGTCATTGAGTTTTGCCATACTTTTACAGGAGATTATTAAAACTGAAATAACATTTCCATTTTAAAAATGTATGTGAAACTTCTGCAAAACTGTACCATCATTTCTTATAAAATGCTTAGCTTGAAATTCATTTTATACGTTTGCTCAGCCATTAGCATCATTTGATATTCTAAAATCAGTTTTTTCTTTTCCAAATTTTTCTGCACTAAGGACTGCATAGTAGAACTCACAGTTTTGCCTTGCACTGAAAAAAGAACTTACTATTTAATTTTTACAGGCATTCAACAAGTTCTTCAAAGATAATACATTTCTTCTATTTTATTTATATGGCTGCATTCTCATTCTGTCAGAGTATGGCTTTCTGTATGTGGCGCTTTTTAAATAAAATTTTGTTTCGATTCTGGCTAATTTCCAAAACTTTCTGGTCTATTTGTGTTTTAGAACTATGAGTTGAGTAATCTAAACTGAGAGGGGTGAAGGTGAAGAAATCCCTGGAATGAGTGGCTTATTTTCTTGAAATGCATATCCTAAAATGCACGTTCACAGCTGCTGTGGTCTTTTTTGCTTCTTATTAACTCAACTTTTCTGCAAATCTGGCTTTAACTAGCAAGCAGATTTCAGTTTGCTGTGGAGAATCCATCCTGTGGAAAGATTTTCATGGGCTGAGAGTTGTGTTCAGACTGACTGCAGTGAGTGTGGGTTGCTGTGGATGGATGCACCACACGGCTGTGAGAGGGGCAGGGCAGGAGGCTCTGGGTTCTGGGGGCTGGAAGGAATGGAGGAAGCGAGGAAGAGAAAGGAGCTACAGCTGGAGGAACACAACTGAAGGACCAGGAGAAAAAATTTTTAAAAGGGGAAGGGACAGAGAAAGTGATGGGGCAGAGGTGTGGGAATGTGATGTGAACAAATCAGTGCTGAGGGCTCTGATGGATCCCTGCCCACCAATGGGTGTCAGCACCTGTTCAGCCACACAGCTGAACCACAAGCGCCAGCCAGGGGTTTGCATCAAAAAACAGAAAAATTGTAACCACCATTTCCTACAACATTGCTGATCTGTCTCTTGTGGTCTGTACTTGCATTTATATTTCCAATAAATTTCAACTATAGTAAACATGAGCACCCACTGTGTGATAAATGCAACATTTCCAATCTCCTGGCCCTGACAGAGCACTGGGTCAAAGGGAAGGTCAGCAACCTGCTGAGTGAGGTTCACTTTTATGGAAGAACTGAAAAGTGCTGGTAAAGAGCTTGTGTGAAAGCAGTGAGTCATTTTAGAATCTTTCCATTCCTTAAGGTGGAAGTTGTTCTTTCACTTGCCACAGGATCTGTTAATTTCTATCTTAAATATCTCCATAGCTTTACATGTTGCTGTACAACTGAATTATTCTAAAGGTAAGGCTACATGTTACAACCAAGCTGAACTAATTGCTTACCTTAGGAAGACCATGAGCACCAGCTGTAGACAAAATATTTTACATCATGATGCTATTTTGTTATAACCACATTTAAAAAATAACACAGGTTATTAACCACAGGAAAAGAGGAAGTAATGCACAAGATTTTTAATACTTGAGTGTACCTGAATTCTGCTCTGCAGATCCTGCGTTCCTCCTCAAGCTATTTATGCCAGATTTTGTAGAATGGACAGCTGAGACTTGGATGACACTGTAAAATTATTTTTACTTTTAATCCAGTTGTCCAAAAGTTGAAAATCAACATCTTCATCAACTAACCTTCAAAATACTGTCCCGTAACAGGAAACAGCACAGAACTGAATCTTTTAAGATGAGAGCTGATTTCAGTGGGTGTTTGATGGCGCTGCGTGCAGCACTGGGCTCAGACAGATTTGACCATATTGTCACCAGTGGCATCATTCCCAGTGGCTGTGCAGCAGATTAGGGTCAGCAGCAGAGAGAAGAGCAGAGCTTTACCAGCACAGCCCAGTATGGCTTACCCAGGCAGAGAAAGGAGGTAAATCCACAGCTACTCAAGGTAGGAAATGTTATTACTGACCTCTATATTTTGTACAAAAGTGACCATATTCCACATTTCTTGACAGTGTTATTTCATAGGGAAAAGTGCAATAACTTTATTATTTTAAATTAAGAGAGAAAGAACTCAGTGAAGAGATGATGGAATTTATAGTCTGTTGGACATCGGCTTTTTATTGTATTGTTATTTGCATTTTTTTTTTAATTTGTTCTCCTCTGTAAAATACACTTGAGAAAACTTTGAGATTAAAGATAGTCTCAAAATTATATTGGTTTTAGATAGCAAGGGATTTTTTAAGGGGTTAATTACTTTTGTTTTATTAACAATACAGGACAGCAAGCAAACTTGTCATTTCATCATAAATTATGCCTATGAAAAAAGTCTTGTTCTGCCTTTTGATCTATAAACCTTGTACTCGTGAAAGAATTTCAGCCATGTTGTAACGACTCTTAAATTACAGAAGCATTATCTATAAATGTTAAATATATTCAAAAAATTTTGGGGGTCTCATCAATGGTATATAAGCACCTCTTTTTTTTTTAATGTGGCAATTTTTGCATTGTACTAAATCCCCATGATTTTAATGTTTGCATAGTAAGACACCATTCGAGCTCAGTGGCTGCTCAGCAGACACCTGCTTCAGTTGAGAGGTGACCTGGGTGGGAGTTGCACCCATGGCGATTACGTTAAATCCATTACACGCTCATCTGGACACGGGTTGTGTAAGAACACGGGCAGAGCTGGGTGTGCTCACCTGCAGCCTCCTGTACCTTGCACTTTCTTGGTCCATCAAACGTGGTTGTGATGAGTGAAGAGCTTTTTGTGCCTTCCTGTGCCTGTCTGGAGAGGCAGCCATGGGTTTGAGTGCTCTGAGCTTTGCAGCGTGGTCTGGAGACAAGAGGAGGCAGCTGTGGATCAGCCTCTTGATCTACTCACACTATAATTAGATGCACCTTTTTGAACTGAAATTTAAGCTGTTCTGTTCCCTCTTTAATCACATCTGCCTTCTACCACAACTTCTTTTTATTATATTTTTATTAAACAATTTAAACTAGTACAAATAAAAAATTATTGTTACTATACAGATTTTAGATCCAGAGGTATAAAAGAAAGGTAATAAGACCGCTTTTTATCTGACAACAGTTAGAACTGTTGTTCCTGAAATGTGTATTTCTCAGACACAGAATCAATTCAGCACATTGTTAGCTTCCAAAAATAAATCTTCCACATGCTACACAGAAAAATAAATCTGGTTGAACAAGGATAGACATGCCAGGAGAGAAGACTGTCTGCAACTGTATGTTTGATTCTGTCCTGGTCCCCTGGAAAGACACAACATTCTCAACAATTCTGTGAGCTCCTACTACTGGAGTTTTTATGCACCAAAAGAGAAACTTATACTAAGAGACCAAACACAGAGTTTGAATAATTATTTTTTAAAAAAGGTTTTTTTGGGGGTCTTGCTGTCATTTTGTTTTGATGTGATGATAGAGGTCTTTTGTTTAAATGCTCCTGATTTAACACCCATCATGTTGGGGATTTATTTGGCTTTTCAGTGTCATCTCTTCAACCTACCTGGACCTACTTGGTCTCACTTTTTTGGCCTCCCTGGACCCCTCCAGTGTCAAGAGTTTAGCCTCCTTGGAACTCTTTAAAATCCCCTTTTCAGATTCATTGGATTTATCCAGTCTGAGCTCTTCATCCTCTGTGGAATTCTCCAGTCTCACTTCTTCATCCTCTCTGGACCTTTCAAGTCTCGCATCTTCATTCTCCTCAGACTTCTCCAGTACCTCCTCTTCAATTTCCTTAGAGCTCTCCAGTCTCACCTCTTCAGATTCCTGGGAGCACTCCAGTTTCTCCTCTTCAGTTTCACTGGACCTATCAAGTGTCACTTCATCAGGCTCTCTGGATCAGTCTGGCAGCAGCTCTTCAATCTCTTTAGATCTCTCAAGTGTCACCTCTCTATCCACAGATTTCTCCAGCCCTACTTCTTCACTCTCTCTAGACCTCTCCAGTCTCACTTCTTCGTCCTCCACAGATGTTTCCAGTCACACCTCCTCAGCTTCCCTGGACTTTTCCTGTACAATCCCTCCATCCTCACCAGGTGTCTCCGAGTACAGCTCCTCCACCTCGTCAGAATCTCTAGACCTCACCGACTTTAACTATTTCATGTTTCAGCGCTCCTCTGGATTATCTTCATCGACTCCTGAGGATGTTTCCAGTCTCATCTCTACACCTTTTCTGGAGGTCTCCAATCTCACCTTTCAGGATGCTTCTTCCCTCAGCCCCTCCGTTTCTTTGGACATGTCTAACCTCACATCCTTAGCTCCCCCAGACCTGTCCACGCTGACATTTCTGGATGTTGCTAATCGCACTGCAGCGGCTTCTCTTGACCTCTGCATCTAACCCTCCTTGCCTCTCCCCTTCTCTCTGCAACCTCCCTCTGTCCTTCAAAACTTCTCTCCTTTATCTGCTCTCTCCTTTGTTCTCTCACTGAAGATTCTTACCTGAGGAAAGTTTAGGGCTTTACAAAATATCTCCTGGCATCTAAACTGGGCATGAAAACAGGTCATCCAAATCCATAACGGTGCCTTGGAACAGCTGCATAAACATCAATATTTATTGTGGAATTTTTGTAGAGCACAGTTTCTGTCACTGACTGATATCCATCAGCGTGGTTGGTACCTCTCCCAAAGGTTTAGCTTTTCAGTTCATGCTGAATCTTCATCTATCAAGACCAACAAATAGTAAATAGAGCTAAATGTGTAAGTAATTGCATCCAGGTTGTGTATATCCGTTATGGATTTGTATCTGAGTAAATTTCACAGAACTGCAGGCAGAGGCATTTCACAGGAAGGTACAGAGAGAAAAGACATGATGGGAGAAGAAAACTGTGGAGCAAAAAACAGGTGAGAAATGGGTTAGGAGGAGGAAGCAGAGAAGCTGTGGAGTAAGAATAGAGGGACATGTAGCTGGAAAAAAAATATCCAACTCTACTGGCATGATTTTTCACTGCCGAGCCATCAATGGGGCCTGGGCTGCCCACGAGGCTTAAAATAATCTTAGTGCTACTTATTTTACCTATCAAATCATCAGATGTTCCCATTAAAGAAGCATTTGCATGTAACATCCCCTTTCTCAATATATGGAAATACTGCAGTTTCTTGTCTCACATCAAATATGCTGCTTAAGTAGCACAGAGGGGCTTCCCAAAATCTTTGGTGCTGTCTTGTATATTTTTGTTATTACTGTTACAACTGGGGCTTCGAAACCAAATGTATTTCCTCTCAGTATCACTAGCATTCTGTGTTAAAAGTGCAGAAACATGTTTGTCATAACAAATATTTTTAAATTTATTTCATTTCTGCTAATTGGGAAACTTTGCACCAATATGCCACTTCCGTCACAAAATTAAAATACGTTTCACACAAAAATAAAGAAGAAAACAAATGCACGAAGAAATGTTTTCTGCCTCATTTACACTAGTTATTTCTTCAAAATTAAGTAGGAACAATTACAATATGTGTATGTAAGAAATGAACCCAAATTTCTATAGGAGTAGAGTTGCTTAACAGTTAAAAAAAATACAGATCACTGGTCCAGATCTTGCTGTTGTATGCTGGAGACAGACTGACATATCTGGTGAACAGTTGTTCTTTTTGTTCTGGTGGCTCTTCCCCGACATTACCATGTGGATTGTTAATTGCAAAGGTTCTAGACTAAATGAGATCTCTAATAAAGCTAAAAATTACTCCATGTTTTAAAAATTGCTTGACTTTGGATGAAAGGGAGTAAAAGAGCACAAGACAAAAGCACAAGGATTTGTTTAAAAGCCAGTATTTAGTATCTTTATGTATTTTGTCTTAATTATTTAAATTAAGAGAATTTAAATTAAGTTAGGACCAAATTCCTTACGTATCAAACATGATTTGAACTTTCTAGTAGTTTTTTGCTTATTATATCTGGGAAATTGACTATTTTTTTCTTTGTGTAGACAGCTTCTAGTTTACTGTTGTCTTTTATGGATTTGTTTAGAGGAAATGATTGAATTTCAGGTGTTTTTATCAACATCCAAAGGAAACCCATGACAAGGCACTGTGTCCGATGGGACAGAACTGTCACAGCTTGGCCACACACAGATCAAAACAAAGTCTGTTTTAAAAAAAATCACTGGCTCCACATGCTTGTAAAACTGTTTTGTTTTCAAGAAGTGATG